GAAGGAAGGAAAGGGTTTGGAGGCTTTGCAGACCCTCAGACTCTCAGGCCCCCTAGCAGTATGGGCAGAAACAAGTCCCAATGCTGGAGTATTGTGCACACATCTGCTGCAGAATGCCTTGGGAGCCAAAGGATTTGATGAAGCTCAAATCGGAGTAGATACAAAGCAATTATACTTCTGCATCCTTGGCTCCTGCCACCCTGAAGCTCCATGGGGATGCACTTGTGGCATTTGGGTGTTTTTCTCACAAAGGCCTCACCATCTAATAAATTATCTATCATGTCACTGCTTCTGCTTGCCTCGTTCTGACACTTCTCCCCTTCTGATTGTAGACAATAATTACACTCTAATTGCTTAGATAATCTTGCTTATGGAGTTACAGCAGCAATGAAAAGCTGTCGTTTGTTATGGCTCCTTCTGAATGTTGATTTAAGCTGAACTACAACTCAGTTCGACCTGAAGAGCAACGCCCACTCAAATGAGGCAAGGCCTTTGGAGGCCTGGAACTGGGTGCCAGAACATGTTTCTTGCTTCTCTCCTGGCTTAAAGGCTACACCTGACTTGGGAGAGGTCACTTATCAGCCCCTCTGCAAACAGGGCCCTGCAGTAGGATAGATCCCTGTGTGTCTGAGGGCTACCCCCTCCCCACCACAGTGGGTAGAGAATGACTGCAGGAAGGCAGAGAGTGCACCCAACGACCCCCACCAACGAGTGGATTTCCCTGCAATTCGATGGGCCTTTGACTCTGTGCCATTATCTCTTTTTTTCAAAGCACATAACCGAATGGCAGAAAAAATCACAAATCATTAAAATAATTAGTGTTTATTGGACACCTCATATTCACATTGCTTGGTGCTGGGTGTGGTACAGCCTGAGATGCTTATTTCCTGCAACATGAGCACAGAGTCTGTGTGGAAGGCATGGGGCATATATGGAAATCTGTGGCAGTGGTATCAGACACACTTAACGAGCTTCAATTTTCAGGTGGGGTCAAATGGAGGAAGAGCTTGAGAGAAATGCCTGAGTGTGAGCTACAGGGCAGGCTTGGCAATATAGGTCACTTGGTTGATTAATTCCAAACTCTATTTATTAAGGACCTACTAAGTGACAAGTATGGAACAAGGCACAAATAATTTTTAAAAATAATGAACCATTGCCCAGAGATTTTGAGGTGCTCACATGCCGATGAGAATTAAAGTGTTAATATACTATATAAACAGTTGGAATACAATATCCATAGAGAGTAGTGAGTATAAGGAAAGCATCAAAGACAGGCTGATGGATTCAGCCAGAGGAGTTGGGAGCTAGCTTTGAAGTGGGCCTTGAAGGGTTGGTGAGCTTCTGTAAGGTTGGCTAAGGGCATTTTTGGCCTGCAAGCTGGAGGGACATGGAGTACTTAAAGTAACATGAAATAGTTCTGTGCAACCAAACAACATCTGGGGGAAGGCGTAGTGATGGGATGCAGCTGGAGAGAAGCTGAGACTAGTTATGAAAGCTTCCAAGTGTCCTGTGAAGGATGTGGGCTTTTCATTAATGGTTTTAGGTAGAAAGAGCGGGTAGAGAGCCTCACTCTGGCCAGTGTGGAGGGGACTGAATGGAAGGAGGGAAGGCCAGGGCCAGCAAGGCCCACCAAGAAGTGGGCAACATTATTGGAGCTACAGGAAAACCTTTCAGAGATGCATAGGAGATGGAGTTCATTTGGCTCTTCTGTTGCTTTTCTCTCTTCATTGCCTTTTAGGTACCCCTACACACAGTTGTCTTACAATTCTCCTAATTTTCTTATTCAGGAAGCCTTTCCATATGTTTCTCTTGGGCTCTGAGTTCTATCCTCTATTTCTGTAATGTCAGGCTGCACAACTAGTTTTGTCTTTGGTTGGGTTTGAGAGACACCAGGGTACACACTCAAGTTAGTGGAAGTTTCCCACCACAGGCTGGACTCAATGTGAAGTCCCTTCTTATGGCCTAAATGACTCTTTTCAAGTTGATAGATTCTCACCTGAAGCTGGAATTATTTGCTTAAGGATCTGGATCCCTTCTATGTACTCCATCAGGGGTGTTAATTATTCAGGGGTCAAGGCTCAGCTGGTCTATAAACACAAATTTATTGGACACCTGCTGTTTACACATCACACTGCTATTCCAGGTTGTGTTCAAGAAAAAGTCTAGACTCTGAGTCTCCGCAAAAGTCCTTTTAATCCTTTCCATTGCCAACAATGCTTGCTGCTGGCTTGGGACAGCCTCCCTATATGCTGTTGTAAAATGAATCTCTCTTAAAACACTCACAAAGCCTGACACATGTCAGTCAGCTGGACTCCCAGGACCTGCCAATGGAAACGAGAGAAGGGCTGGTCTCTGGACTGCTTTCAGACAATAAATCTCTAGCTATATGGAGGAAACAGCCAATAGCCTCTCCTTTGGAGATGGTAAATCAATTTGCCTAAAAACAAACAAATCTGCATTTCTCTGAGCCTGTTTCCCATTTCCCAAAGGTAATATATTCTGGAAAATAAAACAAAAGGAAAATAATAGGTTGATTCAGCACCTCCTATGTATGTGATTATCTGTGAAACATCATACTGGGTACTATAGGTTCATAAAGAAACCAAAGGTTGGCCTCTGACCTCATGGAGCTTATATTCTATTTGGAGATGTACAGAGCTGGATCAATACATTTAGGGGCTCCAACCTGAAATGATTATAGTCCTTCCTATCCATATATAGATATTTAAAAAAAAACAAAACAGAATTTATGTATAAGCAAAATTTCTGCATGTTCTTATTGCAAAATTCTGGTTAATTTAACTGAAGATGAATTTTTATCATGTTCTGGTACTCTTGTTTTGTTAACTCTAAACATGGGATTAATCTGCCTACTAGTAACCCAGATGGGCCATAACTATGCATATCATAAGCTGTAAAACTGTATACAGCAGATGATATTACAAGAAGAAAAGTACATAGTGGGTCCCTGTGTCATTCAGTGTTCTCCAGAGAAACAGAACCAACAGGAGAGGGGTATGTGTGTGTGTCTCTCTCTCTCTCTCTCTCTCTCTCTCTCTCTCTCTCTGTGTGTGTGTGTGTGTGTGTGTGTGTGTGTGTAGAAAGAAGGAGAGTTTTATTTCAAGGAATTGACTTAAGTGATTGTGGGAGTGGCTTGAAAGTCTAAAATTTGTAGTGTAGGCTGGCAGGCTGGAAACTCAGACAGAGATCAAGGTACACTCCAGAGGCAGGATTTCTTCTTCCTCAAGGAAACCTCAGTTTTGCTGCTAAGGCTTTTCACTGATTGAATGAGGTCCACCCAGACTAGTGACAATAATGTCCTTTACCTAAAGTCAAGTGATTGTAAATGTTAGTCACATCTACAAAATATTGCCATAGCAATACCTAGATGAGTATTTGATTAACTGGCTATTGACTAGCCAAGTTGACACATAAACAGACCATCACAGTGCCCAGTAAAGGTGTAGCCATGAGCACTGTGAATGTCAGAGGTGGGAATGTAAGGATGTGATAGCTGGAAGGGAATTTAGAGATCACCAAGTTTAATCTCCTTCATGCACAGGGAAGGTGCCTGCCATGCTTGGTTTGTATGAAGTATCAAAAACAGGTTTTCCCAATCTAGTGGCATGTTTTATGTGAGGGATTCAAGTGAATTTTTAAAGGGGCATGTAGTCTGGATTCTTTCTTGATCAAGGCCTGATGAATCAGAATGTACACAGCAGATGTCCAAATAGTATTTTAAAATTTGATCACATTGGATCCAGGCCTAAGGCTTATCCTTTGCTCATAGGGTCCAAGACTATCATTTCACTGATATATCCCTAGAGTCTAGCCTAGTCTTGGTACATAATAGGTGTTCAAAAGCATCGGTGGGATTCACGAATAGCATGAATGCAAGGAATTCAGGCCAGTTGGATGTGCAACATCCTGATTCCATCATGGGAATGTAGAGACAGAAAGAAAACATTCCAAGCATGAATCTGAGTTTCCTCATCTGTCGGATGGAAATGCTAGTATATTACCTTTCTAACAGGTATATCCAAAGGAGTATATGAGCAAATACATATATTTAGCATAGCACTTGGCATATAGTAGGTGCTCAATAATCGGTAGTGAACACTATGACAATATTTCACACTATCCAACTCTAGCAGATGCTGGAGGTGCCATGCCCCGAGAACCTTTACAAGCCATGCACCCATCCTCCAGCTCTGGATGCTGAGTGTCAACAGCTTACAGCTACCCATTTTTCCAGAGAATTGCTCTCTACTGAAATAAGAGCTGCGTTCACTAGAAGGTTATGGTTCCTGCCCTCAGGGGGATAGCCCACAGCCAGTGGCTGATCCACAGGTGATCATGCTGCAGCCAGTCTCCAGCTGAGCTCTCCTCTTGCTTTTCTCCCTGCCTATTATGGTCCTCTCACTCCCTTTCTCCTGAGAGCTGAGCTCAATAAATCACTTGGACAAGAATCTTTGTCTTAGGCTCTGCTTCTAGGGAACCTAACTTTAAGACACTGTTATTTGGAGAGAGCCCCCAATTCTTCGCCTGTGCAATAATGAGCCATTTTCTGGTTGTGATTCTGATATTCAGACCCCTGGGTGAGTCTCTGCCACAGAATGTTCCTAGCTAGAAGAACATGGTCTTGCAACTGCAGCTGGCAGCTGGCACTTAGCTCATCCACAGCTAACCTCCCCATCAGCGAGGCTGGTGTACTCATCTTTGTGTTACATTTTGCTAAATTCTGCCTGGCCAAGTCCATTCAATCAGCCTAGCCTCTTCCGTAAACCAAATAATCACAAGTTCAACCACCAAGGCTTGAATTTCAGGGAAAACATTCACTCATTCACTCACTCCTTCATTCATTTATTCCTCCAACAGTTATGGAGTGTTGTCCACATAGCCAGGTACTGGGGATGTAGCCACTAACATAGATAAGACATGCTTTCTGGGAACTAACAGTCTGGAGGGAGAAATGGACAAATAAATAGGCAATTGCAAAAGAGCTTGTGAGCCATTCTATAATATGATGCTTTGAGAACACAGAGGATATAAACCAGGATGGAGATCAAAATGGCTTGTTCTTCATTGCAGTTGACCTAAACAGAAATAAATAGAATAGATATCCCCTAGCACACTGCAAACCAAAATGATTACTTCAAAGAATAAGGTGTCACATGTACAAAGATGTGTAGTTTTAAGCACAAAGAATGGTTGCCTAGTGATGGACTGAATAAAGAGATATAAATGCAAAGGACTCTGCCTCCTGTGTTATTACTGCTATAGCTTTTCTCCCACTCAAACACTCACTCCCTGGGACTCAAAGAAAGTGCTGCTGAATTAGATAGTTTTTAGTTGGGGACTGGCTAGATCAGTGGAAATCACAACTGGGTTTTCCCACTGCCTTTCTATACAACAGCACTGTGCCTCACCCGCAGACAATGTCAGGATGCAGAGGTCTCACTGCACGGCTGCCTTATTTTTACTTATTCCTCCTCTGCCATTCATCAGTCTACTCTGGCAGGACATGCAGAGGTTATGGCCTAATTATGAGGTTAGGAATGTTAATTGTTCTATGTTGATATTAGTGTAGCTGGTGCTAATGGGAAAATAATTACTACTCTGTGCCTTTACGGCCATTTTCATTGCTCTCTTGTGGTTTTGTAGTTATTTGGCTATAGATGGTAATGACTTAATATGTGGCTGCTATTATTGCTTTGACTATACAATTGGGGAGAGTCAGAAAAGAGGAGGAGTTTGGGAGAAGTTGGAGCCTTTTAAATGCTTTTACTTTTAAGGTTTTTTTTTCTTTTTCTTGGCATGGGGTTCTCTTGGGCTGTAAGAATGTAAAATTCTAAAAATACCAGTGTTTTGGTGATTCAAGAACCCCAAGATCTTAGTCATAAGTCAGCTGTTGGCGATTGTGTGTTGGGCTCTGAAAGCTAAGGAGTGCTCCTGGTCTCTCTGAATGCCACCTCCCACCCACTTTCCTGAATTGTAGGCCCAGAAGTCAATCGAAATCTCTTCATGTCACTTATTCTCCAGTGCCCCACCTCCAGACACTCTTGAAGTCCATCAATTGTATCCTGAGCATCTCTCTTCTGTTGCCTCCTCTCTGGTCCTGATCATGGCTCTGCTCATTTATCATTTCCTTGGACTACTGATTGGCAACCACCAACTTACTGGTCTCTGCACCTCTATTTTCAGACTCTATTTTTGGTTCCTTATTTAAAATTCTGCAATGGCTCTTCATTGACTACAAAATAAAATACAAACTCCTTTTCAAGACACTTCAAGAGCTAACCCTTGCCCATCTTTGTAACTTCTTCTTCCACATTTCCTTCTCGTTTCCAATAGCCCTGTGTAGCACTCATTATTTGTTCTTCTCCAGGAACATCATGCTGTCTCCTCTCACCTCCACGCTGGTGCATATGCTGCCCTTCCTCCCTGGAATGCCCTTGTCTTCCAGAGGCTGCTTCATTTGAGAGCCTTCCCTGATTCATCTAGGCAAATTAACAGATAATAACTGTTTTATCTACTAAATATTAAACTCCTGAAGGCAAGGTCTATATTTGTCTTATTTACCACTGTGGTCACAAGCCTGTTATATCACCTGGCCTAAGGAGAGTACACAGCAACTATTCAAAATAAGGAACCAAAGGCTTTGTTATGGTTTGGAATATGGTTTGTTTCCAAGTATGGTTTATTTGTTCCCACCAAACTCATGTTGAAATTTGATCCCCAATGTGGTGGTGTTGGGAGGTGGGGCCTAATGGGAGTTATTTGGGTCATGGGGGCAGATCCCTTATAAATGGTTTGTTGTGGTTCTCACCAAATGACTGAGTTCTTGCTCTGGGAAAGATAGACTACCTCTTGTGAGAATGGATTAGTTTCTACAAGAGTGGGTTGGCATAAAACCAGGAGCCCTTTAGGTTTTGCCTCTCTTCACAAGTGTCCACCTCCCCTTTGACCTTCTCTGCCATGTTTTTTGACTCAGCACGTGGCTCTCACCAGTTGCTTAGCAGACGTTGGTACCGTGCTTCTCATACTTTCCAGACTGCAGAGCTGTGAGCTAAATAAACCTCTTTTCTTTTTAAATTACCTAGCCTCAGGTATTCTATTATAGCAACATTGAACAGACTTAGGACAGTCTTCAAGGCAAGACATACTTTTGACATCTACTTAGACACACAGATTAAAAGGTTACATAACAACATCTCTTTCTAGAGATAGGTTGCAAATGAATGTTTTCATGCATAACATTTCAAGTACTATATTGAAACCTCATCAATTCAGACTAGTGGGAGCAGGAAAGAAAAAGATTCTTTTAAATTTGTGATATATTTCAATTTCAGGCTTTTTTTCCCCCCAGGCCAGTTTATTTCAATATCTACCAAGCACCTACCATGTGCTAGGTATGGTCCTGGACATAACACTGACTATATGAACATAAGTATGACACAGTTTCTGACTTTGAGACACCTAAAGCCGTTTGATAAATGCCTTTCTGTAGACTTAATACACCTATATTCACGCTAAATATAGCTTGTTTCTTTAAATCATATGGTCGTCTTTGCCTGGTTTTGTCTGGAACTTTCCTTCCTGCCTTGCCTATTTGGTTAATTATTACTTGTCTTTCCCACATCAAAACCTTCTTTGGCTAAGACCACACCGCTCCTTGTCTTCCTCCTTTCCTTCCCCACAATCCTTCTCTGCTTTCCTCTCCTGTTCTCCTAGGACCCTCCCTAGAGTCCTGTCCATTGTACCATCCTCACTCATTTCCTCCTATTCTGTGTGTTTCTTCAGGGCAGTGACCATCATTTTATTGTCTCTCTAGCACAGTGACTGATGCATGGGAGATGTTCAGTGATCTTTAATATTGTTACAATGAATGAATAAATAAATGAAACTAGAATTTTTAACTAGAGATCCTGCATGCCTCTTTTTAATGAATTGTTTACAATTGGGAACACTCACTCCTACAGATCTAGGCCCTCAAAATTCCTCAGTTTTCTCCCTCAATCAACTAAGTTAACATCTCTTAGAATATCTTATTATCTAAGGATTGTATTAGATTTAGCCATAGGAAATTGCTGTGTTTTGTGCATCAAAAGCAGCTGAATACCAGCACATCATACAGTTCGAACTAATACTTAACAAATCTGCTCAATACTAATGGTGCCAAGGTGAACATCAAAGTGTCCATATTCAATGTTCCAGGTTACAAATGAGAGGAGTGGTTTTCTTACCTCATTCTGGGTTTCCCTGGCTTATGTCTCCAAAGCTACTCAGAAGAGTCTGCTAAGCCTGCTGCTTCTTTCAGCCTTCCTGGCTAGGTCCACAAATGATTAGTGTTGTGCAGAAATCATCCTTTTTAGAGTCACTTAAGAAAGGTTAGCATTTACAGCCAATTAGCAAAAGTCCAGTACAAAACAGGTGTACAATAATTGTCTTTGCATACCAAATGGCACAATAGCTATTATTCACGCCATAGAGAGACTGTTCAGTGGCTGGATGGAGGGGTTTGGTGGATGGTAGTTTGGTGAAGTCCCAATTCATATTGATTGTCCTTGGGCCTTTAACTCTGCAGCCATGCTCTTGTCCTATGAGGCCAATCCTCCCACCTTGCCCCAGGACCAAGCTTTTGTGAGCTTCACAGCCTTTGCCAGAGACTTTGCTCCATTTCCAAAGCAAATGGTGCCACTGACTCTCAGCCTCTTGCCTCATTTCTTGTCTGTGTCACTTTCACCCCTTAAATGTCAAAACCAATGTTTCTTTACAGGAACCACCCTAGATTCCCTCCTTCATGGAGACTGCATTTTCTCTGGTCACTTAAAATATCATTTCAGGATGTTGACAGATCACTTGGGAACCCACCCTCAGCGCTACTTTTACTTGGCTGATGTTGTCTGTTGCCCCTCTCTGTTCTTTACCACCGCCAGCGACAAGAATTGAGAGCTAACTAATCCAAAGGGGCAGGAAAAGGGACCGGAACATAGGTCTGCCTCCCAAAGGATCTTCCTTTTGCCATCAGTCTGGTTCAAATGTCATATAACTTTGGTCAAAACTCAGCCTCCACTCACCTCCCTCCTCACACCTCATATTCCCCAGGCTGATCTGGAAAGGTGGAGGAAGAGAAGGCAGAAGGGAGAGGTGAAGCCCAAGAACCTGAGTATTTCTCTCAGGCAAGACTCAGGACTGCTATGGGCATTTAGAAGCTGAGTGTGCAAATGTGCTATAGTTCAAGGCCACCACCGCTGCAGAGGCCAAGGACACCTTAGGAGGAACTCTAACCTGGCTCCCAGGGAGAGCTGCTTTCGGATTTCCCCTGTAGGTAAATTCATCCTTTTCGCCCTCTAAGCAAATAAGTCCTTGTTCCCATTTCCCATGGTTTAGTCTTCAGTTTAAGTCTTTGGTCTCCTCTGATCTACCAGCTCCCATCTCTCTCCCAATCTTTCTTTCCTTTATTCTGCGACACCTGTTGAATGAGGCACATAGGGTTTGCAGTCACTTTAGTGTTCCTTGGGATTGTGAGGTAATGGGCTAGTGTTATCACTTTCTCAGAAAGTCTTCAAAATTATCACGAGGAGATGAGGCATTCATCTCCTGGGAGGTGTGTGTGTGGTTAGATAAGATGATGGCTACATTCCATTCCAGTCCTGTCATTCAATCATTTTTCCTTAGTGGGCAACTCCAGGGAGCCACTGAGAGATGTGATAGTCTGAAGCACTCAGCTAAAATGGAATTCCAAACATGGCACCCACAACTTGGGTTTCTAATCATCCATCTGTATGTCTGCATGTAGTCTATGATTTAGGGTTTAGGTTCTTCTGTTTTTTTTTCTTCTCCTTCCCTTTGAGAGTTTAATAAAAGTCAGGGGCATCTTGTAAATGGTGACACAAGAATAATTATCAAAGACAGCTCTTGTACAATAATATATAGTACAAATATTAATGTGTGTGACTTTATCAGCTAGATTGCATGAAGGTAAAACAGCTCCCACACTTTTTATCTGGATAGGCATTTAACATCTCTGTGCCTGTTTCCTTGTCTGTAAAATGGGAATTATAACAGGATGTACCTTAGTGTTCACTGTAAAGATTAAGTGACTTAATGAAAACACTTAGAACAGTATCTAGCAAATAGATGACAAAAAAAAAAATGATCAGTAACAGGCGTGGTGGAAATATTTATCATATCTCTTAAGAGTGTTTCTCTGCAGTTTAAAACTCAGGGAACCCCTTGAAGATGCCCCTGGATCTCCCGAAGTGTCTGGACCTCTGAGAATCCCTCGTTTATCAGAAAGAGTCCCAGACTAGAGGTCAGAAGACGTGGGAATGCTCATAGTCCCACACACACCATTAAGAGCAGACCACGGGCCAGTCCTCATACTAGATTCCTGTTAATTTTTAAATTTTTCACCAGTTCTGCAAGAAGGCTATCTTGTCCCCAGTTCACAGACGAAATAAATTCAGAAGGGTTTAACGACATAGTTAATGCTAAGAGCAGAAAACACGGGTCCATCTGGGGTCTGGAGCCACTGTTAAGATACCCCTTTAAAATCCGGCCACATGGTTCTGAGAGTCACTCAATCTCTCTCTTATTTCTGTCGGCGTTAAACAGGAATATCACTATCTTGGCCACCTCGCAGAGTGAGATTCCAACTAGAAAATGTTTATGCAGTTCCGCCGTGGGTCGCGAAACCGCGGCAGGCGTTGGAACTACGATGCCAAACACAGCTAACAAGGAGTAGCAAGGCGAGGCGAGCCCAGCTGAGGAGAGTTGGGATCCCGCCTCCAGGCCCGTGGCCGGGGTTGGGCGCGCGGCTGAGTGGCAGGCACATTAGCCAATATAGCTGCGGGAGACGGCAGGGGCGGAGCTGCCCTTTGGCCGCGCTCGGCCTTGTGGGAGAGCTAGAGGCCGCCGGCTAATCGGCGTTCCTCTCATAGCTGCTGAGGGTCTGCAGAGCGCCTTTCCTGTGGGGCTTTATCTAATCCTAGAGCGCTGACGGCGGGAGCAGGAGAATCCTGGCGTTAGTCCAAGGGCCTGGCGAAATCTCTTTAACGAGAACTGCAGGCTGTTGGTGATGTCACGGTGCCGTGCCAGTGACCTCGACCCCCTCTCGCCCCAAGGAACCCTCACTGGCTGTGGATTCTGGGCGTCGGGACCCCCCGGGACCTGGGCCTTCCGCTTCCACTCTCATTCCTGAATGTTAAGGGGGCAGGGCCGGACCAGGAACAAGGGAAGGCTGGAGAAATAGCAGGGACGACTTTTTCTCCCGGAAACAGACATTTGCAGGCCTCCTAGAAGGAAAAAATCTAGAAACAGTGGGATCTGGGGAAAGAAGGACGTGGTGCTTCTCACGTCTTGATGGGATCCCCTTTGCTTTTGGGACACCACCATCTCTAACCTGCTTTATCGTCATAATCTTCCGACTGGATTTCCTGTCCCAAGATTTGCCCATTGCTGGCAGGCCCACTCCAGCCCAGGGTGACTGCTGCCAAACGCTGCTGATCGCCACATTCCCCAACTTAAACCTCCTTACAGGGTTTTCCCGTTGCCCTCGAGACAAAGGCCTGACACTGAACTTAGCTCTAGAGGCAGTGGAGGTTCTGGCTTCCTGATTACGGTTCCAACCCCATTTCTGACCACTTTCCACTCCCTTTCCCCCAGTCAGGGGTTTATGATATTAATAAATGAATGAACAAGCTAGTTCTAGAAATATCAGCAGTATTATCAGAGTAAAAGAAACCATTATAATCAGAGTGACGATGAAAACCTATTGTGCTCAGGTATCAAGCCCCTCAGATGGGGAAGTCAACTTTGTCCTGGAATCCAGGGAACCTGAAGTCTTATGTTTGCTCAGCTACTAGATTTTTCTGCATAATCTGCCACAGGTTGCTTCCAGTCTCTGTTCTTTCATTTATAAAATAGGGCCAGTGAAGGAATGTTTTCTATACTCATATCTTTACCTTTATGAACTACTTCAAAGATAAATCCAACAGAACAGAGAGAAGCACCTTATATATTCAAAGTATTAGCAACATACTGTAAGACGCACACCATGATACTATGAATTACCTTTAATATCCTTTCCTGGGACACATAGAACTTGTACTTTATATATCATATAAGATAGTGGTCCCCAACCTTTTTCACATCATTCTTAAATGTTGATGCCTATGAGGTAAACATAGACACCAGGGACTGGTTTTGTGGAAGACAGTTTTTCCACAGACCAGGGTGGGAGTGGGGGGAACGCTTTGGGATGATTCAAGCATATTACATTTATTGTGCACTTTATTTCTATTATTATTACATTGTAATATATAGTGAAATATACAACGCATGGTAATGTAGAATCAGTGGGAGCCCTGAGCTTGTTTCCCTGCAGCTACACAGTCCCAGATGGGGGTGATGGGAGCAATGACAGATGATCAGGCATTAGATTCTCCTAAGGAACTTCCAACTTAGATCCCTGGCATGTGCAGTTCACAATAGGGTTCACACTCCTATGAGAAGCTAACGCTACTGCTGATCTGATGGGAGGCGGAGCTCAGGTGGTAATGCAAGCGATGGGGAGCAGCTGTAAATACAGATGAAGCTTCGCTTGCTTGCCTGCTGCTCACCCCTGCTGTGCGGCTCAGTTACTAATAGGCCATGGACTGGTACCAATAGGTGGCCTGGGGGTGGGGAACCCCTGATATATGATACCCAAAGTTTATCTTTATATCAGGCATTCATTTAAAACACCCCACAGATTTCTTTTCTTATGGCTACATTTGAGGAGCAGCCTGGCTTGCAAGCATTGACCGATTCTACTCACCACCTGTGTACTTAATAGAGGGAGCCATGGGGGCCTGGAGACAAGATGTAGAAGATATCAGCTAAGGAACCCAGCTTAGATGAGGTAAAGATGGCTTTGTCTTGAAACTTTGAGAATTAATGGTCACAGAGGAATTGGCATACCATGAAAAATATTAGAATGTGGAGTCATGGGCTGCTGTAGGTCCTTGCTCATACCACACTCTTAATTGCCTCATTTTCTCTGCCTTCAGTGCCCTTTCCCAACCTGGAGTGCTTCTCTCCCTTTCTTCCCCCAAACTCCCAACATGCATATATTTTTCACTTAGCTAACCCTTGAGAGATAGAATACATTTTGAATGAATGAATGAAGAAATGAAAAAATTATGGATGGATCAATGAACACCATGGGCACCAGAAGATCTGAGTTCTTTCTTGGATGAGCACAACAACCTTGTGAAATAAGTAAGGCAACAATTTATGGTGTCATTTTACAAATGAGGGGACTGAGACTCAGAAAGTTAAGCGACTTAGTTGAAGACATTTAACAAAGTGGCAGAACTGGCCCCTAACCCTTAGGATTTTTTTCCTCCCACAACATCATAATTCTTGAAGGCAAGAAAGTCTTAATTTCCACATTTTCAACTGAAAACAAGCCTTCTTTAGAGAAAAGACTGTATATACACCTGTCTCTTTCACCACCTCCTTCCCTAGGCAAGTGATTGCAGAGGCCAGCCAGTATTCACAGGCTAATTTTACAGACAAATCTAAATGGAAATTGGCACCTGTTAGGAACATAGTCAAGAAGAACTGGACATCATGAAATTTCAGCCCATTTTTGCACGTTCTTCTAGTGGAAGACTTCAGCACAGTTCTCTGTCAAAGGAGTCTGTTTCCATGGCAGGGGAGGAACTCAAGGAGGAAAGAAAGAGAAATAACAGAGCATATTTTCTCAGAACTATTTCTCCAGAAACACTGATAATTCAAGGGGCAAGGGCAATTAAGTGATTAGAAGTGCAGCAGCGAGTGAGCTCTAAAAAATAGAACAACTCTTTAGGTTTCTTCCAAGGGACAAGATAAATGAGAAACTTGGGCAGGAAGATGTTGATGTGAGCACATAAACCTCACCTTCTTTGCTTGCTCCGATTCACATCTGTTCCTACAGACTGAAGCTAGACTTCCCAGGTCTTGAACCCTGGCTCTACCACAAACTAGCTATGTAATGATTCTTAACCCTAACTGCCTATTCCCATCTCATAAAATGGGGATAATAATAATTAACACCTCCCTTGTGGATGTTGTGAGAATTAAATGAATTCATTAATATTAATTCCCTTAGATCAGTGTCTAGAACATTGTTAATGGTATTGTCACCATCTTCATTATAGCTACCTCTTGGTAATTGAAGCAGAGTATATACTTTTAAGATAGTTATTTTCAACTGGATTTTTAAAAAGAGGGAAAGATTGACCAGATTATCTGAGATGCTTATATATATTCTGGCATTCCTCCCCGATCTTACATTTCTACCCTTCTGGAAATTAAGACTGTTTAGGTCTGTGAACTGGGCCTGGTGGCTCACATGTATAATTCCAGTGACTTGAGAGGCTGAGGCTCTGAGAGGATCACTTGAAGACAAGAGTTTGAGACCAGGCTAGGCTACTTAAAGAGACACCCATCTCTAAAAAAAACCTTTTGTTTTGACTTAGCTAAGAGTAGTGACGCATGCCTGCAGTCCCAGCTATTCAGGAGGCAGAAGCAGAGGATTGCTTGAACCCAGGAGTTCAAGGTTGCAGTGAGCCATGAGCATGCCTCTGCACTCCAGCCTGGGCAACAGAATCAGATCGCAACTCTTTGAAGAAAAAAAAAAAAAAAACCTGCACTATAGGTCTGTGATGGGAGATGGGCATGTGTATTTAGAAAAGGCAAATCTGAAATGCTTTGTTTCATCTTACCCCTAAACCTAACACCCAACCAGAATCCTATCTTAAAGAGATTTCTCTGGAGACTAACAGGTATATTTACTTTATGAGGATTACCAGGATAGTATAAGCTTGTGTGGGACTTGTGCATATGATGAAGCCTATCAGCCTGTCTAAGAAGAGCTGCACTGAAACCAACCCAACTTGTGATTCCAGTTTCCTTTTGCATTATGGATATGCTAATGAGCTGCCTCAAACTTAGAGATGATATTATCATGATGACACTCTCTGGGGAAAGCCCTAGTGATTTAAAGTTTGATCATATAGTATTTTACTCTGTAACTGACTTTTTTTCCCCACTTAATAATCTCTGTGGATATCTTTCTAGGTTCATGCATATAGATCTAACCCATTCTTTTTTATAGCTGCATGATATTCCATAATATATATTTCCCATGCTTTCTTCAAACATTTCTTATTGCTAGAAATGCAGATTGTTTCCTACTAGATTTTTTTTTAACCATGGAGCATTTTGTTGTAATAAGCATGCTTGAACATATTTTTCTATATGCTAGGGCATGCTTTTCTTTTCTCTTAAGAGAGAATCACCAAAGTGTAATCATTAGGTCACTAGATGTGCACGTTGGTAATTTTAGAAAATATTGCCAGAGAGATTGAAACAATTTACCACTGCCACTCCAGCTTCTCCTGGGCATGCTACATACACTGTGGGAAGGGGAAAGGCTGACCTAGAACACCTTTAAGTGGATGCTGCAGTGAATATGACAAGACTATGATTCATGGATTCTTAAGTATTTTGGATTTTATGGGTCAGATAAAACCTCATTTAATAGCATGCTATCTGTCCTTTGCTTAACATAACTGCATCCATGATGTGGCTGAATTAACCGCCTACCATTGCACAGCCATAAGCATCAATACACCCTTCTTCTCTATTCCTAGTTTTGTGTGATAACCTGCTTGAGGGAGAGAGGGAGTGGGTTGGAGCAGATGCTAAAAAAACTGCAGGGGTAGGAAAAGGAACTGTGAAAGGGGAATTCATGTACACTGAACCCAAAGACCCTAGGCAGCAGGATAGTATCTATTTCCTTATTTTCATGTTCTCTCTCTGCTCAGTGACATTCTCGGTGTAATATCTGCTGACTTCTGTAACACCATTCTGTAATCTTTTGCCAATCCAATAGACTCTGTGTTGTCACACTTCATCAGCTGTTATAATTCCCAATAACTAGCACACATTGACGTCCCATCCCTGAAAAGCTGGCCTAAAATAAATGGCTTCAGGGGACTTAATGATAAATCAGAGGCATTCTGAATGGATTCTGAAAGTATTCTAAGTCAGAACAAATCCTCGCTGGAATCCAATTTGGCTGTTTCATTACCAGTTCTATCTCCCGCATGCAAAAAGATGATAAACAGCATTGTAAAGATGTAGATGAGATTGGCTTTTGTGACCTAATGTTTCTGGTGAAGAGACAAGTACAAGCTGTTAAAACAGGAAAAATGCACACAACCCCCTGGCAACAGAATATTATAGGCTTCGTTTTTGAACAGGAATCATTTGTGATTTTACTACCTGGGAAACAAAGACCTGGCTGCTTCAGCATTTTGAAGTGGTTTAATTAACTTTTAAGTGTGCACAGAGAGCTGGTACAACTACTCTACAAACTAAAAGCCACAGGAAAAAAAGTAGAAGGTTGCCAGATATTTCTTATCAACCCAGACCAAGACTCCTTAGGGGCATGTATCAGAGTAGTGGGAGCACAATTTCCAGGACCAGTCTCTGCAGGATGAATTCCAGCGAGTGAGTTAACCTCTCTGTGCCACAGTTTCTTCATTTGGAAAATGGGCTAATAGTAATATGGACATCATTTTTTTAAGTGGCACTAAGAGGAACCAACAGATAACAAAATGGAAGAGGGTGTATGGACAAAGAGGGACAGTTCAAGAAATAAATCTAGGCCAGGTGTGGTGGCTTACGCCTGTAATCCCAGTACTTTGGGAGGCCGAGGCGGGCAGATCACGAGGTCAAGAGATCAAAACCACCCTGGCCAACATGATGAAACCCCGTCTCTATTAAAAATGCAAAAATGAGCTGGGTGTGGTGGCACGCGCCTGTAGTCCCAGCTACTAAGGAGGCTGAGGCAGGAGAATTGCTTGAATCTGGGAGATGGAGGTTGCAGTAAGCCAAGATCGCACCACTGCACTCCAGCCTGGTGACAGAGTGAGACTCCATCTCAAAAAAAGAAA